GTATGCGTAATGCATTTTCCGCCTCCCTACGTAAAGGGTAGTAGCCCTTTTCCAATTGCTTCGGGCGCAAAAAAAATGGAGAACCACATATCTGTTCATCATGCTTTAATAAACATCACCGCTATGTGTAATTTTTTTGATTTTATTCAAGTGATTTTGATTACATATTTCAGTCAGTGACTTTTACGAGGGGCACACTGAAATTATCGGGAATAGAATATTACGGATTGAGTTACAAAAAACCTTTTTTAGAATTTGAATACTGGCCTCTTAGAATCTTAATGACATTCGAACAGTTATAAAAAAATGTTTAAAAACTGTAAAGTTGACACGTCGTTAACAGAAATGGAGCTCACGCGTGAACATTTCCGTGCCATAATTTATCACAATTTTCGTCGCGGCTTATCTCAAGATAAATGTCTCAGCGAACTTGTTTCGATTTATGATATTGAAGCACCGAGTCAAACGATAATATACCGCTGGTATGCAGAGTTCCGACGCGGTCGTGTGTCGCTCAGCACTGTTTCTTCTGCAGGTCGACCAAGAACAGCGGTCACGCCTGAAAACATCGCAGCTGTGCTAACTATTATAACGGATGTCTCAGAATGATTTTCGTTTATGAATTGACCAATACGCGCCAACCGCTGGTAGCAGGGGGAGGGGAGTGGACTCAAACGCTTGGCCGGCTTGTTAAGTTTAGTAGCCATGAATCGTTTCACGGGATTACAGCGCATTTTGCGTAAGAGCGTTTTATTAAAACAACGATTCCTAGTCCTACACTGTTGTTCGTCGTCTCTACAGGACACATTTTAATTTAAAAAGCTTAAGACATGTGCCAAGTGCCAATTTAATTAAGCATTGGGTGTGCAAGTTTGAAGAGACTGGGAATACAATGCCGGACAAATCGTCTGGGCGTAAAAGGACATCAAGAACGAGCATGAACGTCGATCGCGTTCGAGTGTCTGTTATGGACGACCCACGACAGTCATTGAGATTGCGCGTAGCTTCTCTTAATTTGAACAAATCTACGGTTCATCGCATTATTTCGAAAGACATACATTTTCACCCCTATAAAATTGTTATTGTTCAAGAAATGAAGCCTGATGATCCTGATAAACGAGTCGAATTCTGAAGGACGATGAAAAGCTGTTTTAGGAGTTTCAATAACATGTGGTTCTCCGACGAATCGAATTTTCACATCAACGGTCATGTGAATAGACAAAATTGCAGATACTGGGCTTTCGAGAATCCGTTAGAACTGCATCAGAAGCCCTTGCACTAGCCAAAAGTTGTTGTTTGGGCTGCCATATCAAGTCAAGGAATTATCGGTCCTTATTTTTTTGAGGATGACCGAGGTCGAACTCAGACCATTAATTCTGACCTATATTGCCTTAACCGCTTGCTTGCCCGTGTCAACTAGTAGTTAACAAATCGAGAATCTAGAATTGACCATGTCAAGTAATAGTTAACATAACCTTGAAGTCAGCTTTGCCCGTGTTAACTGGTAGTTGACATTGCATTTCACTCATCTATGACCATGTCAACCTGTGGTTAACATCGCTCCCGCCGTCGAAAAAGCTGATTCTACCCGTCTCTATCACTCCAGGGCCTAATTTGTATTATTTGTCCCGTTTCTTCGTGAAATTTCCCTCCACACAACCCCAGTCAAGCATCCAAGCCATAGAGAAAAGTCAAGAAAAAAAATAAAAACGTTCCGTTTGACTCCAGTTCGATTCATGCTTGATTCGGTGAGAGATGTGGTGCGATAAAAAAGTGATTTTCTTCATAAATCCTTTGACAACCCCAGTCAAGCATCCAAGCCATAGACAAAACTCAAGAAAAAAAATAAAAACGTTCCGTTTGACTCCAGTTCGATTCATGCTTGATTCGGTGAGAGATGTGGTGCGATAAAATAGTGACTTTCTTCATAAATCCATTGTTATTCTTGGAGATTTTTTGTGAACATCAAGGTAAGAAAATAACTAATACGTAGATATAAAAATTCCAACATGAAACAAAGATTTAACCTTTTTTCGAGACCTAACAACATACGGTAGGTACATGTTTGCGCGCAACATTGAAATGATTGCCTATATTTTATATTTTGATCATTTTGATTGTATTTTTCTAGTTAATTCGTTTTAGAAGTTAAATCTGTTTTTGGCATTTATAATAATATATTTATTATATTATGAATATAAAATTAATAAATAATAATACAAAAATTATAAATTAATTATTAATTTATTAATATGAAATTAAATTTAAAATTAAAAATAAAATAAAAATTTAATGATATAATTAATTAATAATTGATTCAACCAGATAAATTTTAAAGTGGAAAGTAAAGTTTGCTAAAAATACAAGAAATGTGTATTAGGGTGCGCTGTTTGTTTTTTGGCGTTATTTTGTTTGTTTCTTTGTTTTTGGCTTTATTTTGTTCGTTTTTTTTGTTTGCTTTTTTTATAATATGCTTAAAAATAACAGCTAACTTTTGAAATGCACCACCATGCACCAGCACCAAAAAAAATAGAACACTATTTTTTTTGGTGCTGGTGCATGTATAGTTTTATTTTCGCTTTTAGATTGCGCTTGTCACCATGCCGCGAAACAAAAAGCCTCGCTGCGCACGTGCTTTAAAGTTTCCAAAAAGCTATATCAAAATATAATAATAATGATAATAATAATATTGTTTACCTATTCAATTTCCATTTATGGCTTGAATTCGTTAACTGAACTAAGGATGGAGTGGAACAGTTATTGAAGTTCTCTGGACACAAGTAAAGTTTATTTTGTTGGTATTATTATCTGAGTCGTATTAAAAGATGGGCCTCCGTGGTCTCTGCCTACCCCTTTTCAGGGAAACGGGCGTGATATAAGTATAAGTAATACTAGTATTAAGACTAATAGCTCGCCCCTCATCGTCTGATATACGAAATAAAAATTTAATATATTAATCCTTTAACCTACCTACCAAGTTTCATCAAGATCGGATCAATGATACTTGAGGTATCGTCGGACAGACATTAATACATACATGCATACGAATATCAAATCATCCGAGATTTATGTTTACATTTGAAATGTTTTTGTGTTTAGTGCCGAAACCATTGGACCGTCCGGCGCGGCGTCGGAGCCTACGCCAGGTCCATCCGGGTTGAAGTCTTTGGCAGAAGGCATAAAACAAGTAAAGTCTGCGAAGGCTGCTGACACCAAACATATTAGAAAGTTGACGACTGAACAGCGAAAGGAATTGACGCGCCTGAAAGACTTGAAACAGGTGGGAAATTATAAAATGCCCGACGCATCTGACTCTAAGAAAGGAAAGGGAAAAGGAAAAGGGAAGGGAAAGGAAACTGGATCCGACGACCGCCAGTGGATTCCCTGCCCACTCGTACCCGGTGTGCCGTCCATTCCTCCCCCGAGAATACCGCAGCCTTGAGAGGTTCTGCAGTCTCAGCAAACAACAGCAGCAGCAGCAGTGCATAATGATAATGGCTCTATTAGAGGCACGCCTCCATTGATTATAGTCCAAGGGCCTCTTTTAGAAAAGACAGCAGCAGCGGAGGATGATGGCGAAGACAATGGCGCTATTAGAAGCACGCCTCCATTAGTTATTGTCCAAGGGCCTCTTTTAAACAAGATAGCAGCAGCGGAGGATGATGGCGATGACATCATCGAAGGCACGCCGCCTTCACCTGATATGCAAGGGCCTTTTCCTGGACTTAGTGGCAGTCGAAAAAAACGATACGAAATGAATATTGATGACACACCGACTGGTCCTCGAGCGAAGAAACGGCGCATTCATTTCAGTCCATCAGTGCAGGTGGTTCAAGCCACGGAATTGCCCGCAAACCCTGTGACAGCTGAAATAGAAATAGAGTACGTCAATTTCACACCTACATCCGGCACTACTCGAACAGAGGCGTGTGGATCGGGCAGGAGCGCCGCATCTAATATTTTCCTCGAGATTGATATCGAGATCGAGTGCGACATGGGTCCAAATAGCGGTAGTGAAGTTGAGCCGGATGAAGATGTTGAGGAGGATATTTCCTTGCGCCCTCTGCTTAACCCGAGGAACGTTGTCGCCGAGGATATAAACGACTTGAACCTTACAGAGGCCTTGGAACTCATGCACTTAGACGCTGAAGAGGACCAAGCCATTCGAACTATTGCTGCGGGTGAAGTTGACGTTTTATATTTTGATTGGTGCGCTGATATCAAAAATTTTGAGGGCGTCAGGGAGGAGTTCACTGGATCGTCAGGCCCAACTTTTGACCACTCAGGGATGTCACCACTGCAGGTCTTCGAAGAAATCTGGGATACCAATATAATCGACCTCATTGTTACTGAAACGAACAGATACGCGCATAATCTTAAATCTAAAAGATCTGGAAAGCTCACGTTCAGGATGAAGCGGTGGAAGGACGTTGACAGGGAGGAAATGTGGCAATTCCTTACCATATTGTTGCTTCAATCTGTACTAGTAAACAACGTGGAGCGCGGATACTGGTATCCCAGCAATGAACAAATGCGGATTGGGGATTTTGGCAAAATTATGCCCTACAACCGCTTTATATTAATTAAGAGATGCCTGCACTTTGCAGACAATTCCGCCTTGGCTGAACATCCCTCAAAACTCGACAAGATAATGCCCATTGTCGCAAGACTCAATCAAAAATTTAGCTCGCTTGACCTTCCTGAGCAGAACTTAGCGATTGACGAGTCGCTTTTTCTATGAAAGGGGCGACTCTCTTTTAGCCAAAAAATTGCCACAAAAATGGCTCGGGAAGGTATAAAAAGCTACGAAATTTGCGAATCGCGGACGGGCTATCTGTGGAAAATGGAGGTCTATTCAGGCAAGGGGCATGCTCATGTCCCGCAAGAAACTGATGCGGTTGCGGTTGAAGGGCAGGAAGTGGACGATGAGCCGGAGAATGTCACATCCCAAATTGTCTTTAACCTTATGAGACCATTGTTTGGAAGAGGCCACGCTAGTGATGGATAATTTTTATAACTCACCACTTCTATCCAGGCTCTTAAAATTGAAACACCAAACCGACACAATGGGCACGCTTCGGCTGAATAGAGAGTTAGTCCCTGAGGGGCTAAAAGCTAAAACCAAAAATAATATGAAGTCTGGTGAAGTGGCTTTTAGCTACACCAAGGATCTATGTGTGGTCGTATACATGGACAAAAACATTGTGCCGATGATATCGACTTATCACCAGCCTGAAGTCGGCGCAACCGTTAAATACGGCTATTTTAGGTACAGGCCCAAAGTAATCTTAGATTACAATCTTTCTATGGGAGGCATCGACCGCAAAGATCAGCTGCTCAGCAGCTTCCCCTTAGAAAGGAGCAGAAATTTATGCTGGTACAAAAAATTGATCCGCCGACTTCTGAACGTGTCGGTACTCAATGCCTCGGTGATATACGACCACGACCGCACGGGTTCCGCCAAGCTCGGAAATCGAAGTTACCGGATGAGACTTATAAAGGAAATGCTGGACAAATATACCTCTCCAACAAACCCACCACCACAACCACCACCAAACGCGCTGGCACAGACATACTTGCCTCTAAAGACAAAAACGCAGCGATGCAAATTGTGTTACCAACACAAAGTGCGGCGTACGACAGTGTGGCGGTGTGGTACGTGCCGGGTGAATCTGTGTTATACACAATACCACAAAAATTTGGCCTAATAACATTTGATTATTACAGTCGTACATGAGTATTATATAACAATTTAAAGTCTTTATATTAGTTTACTACTTTATTACTTTACTTTTTATTACTTTTTTATACTAGTCAGGCATTGCACTAGTAATAGTAAGAATATTATATTTTTGTCAATTCTGGATACTGTTGTAGTATCAGACAGCCTTATTACTGAGTATGGTGGCAGTTCCTACTTCATCATGTTTTTTGTTTAACTTGAAGACTTTTATATAAAAAAAATTTTGTAAAATACAATTCCGGATACTGCAGAAAATTTCCGGATACTGTTATAGTTTTTTACTACTTAAGTTTACTACTTAATTTTTTTAAATATATACAAAATATAATATATTATATACTTATGGCTATATACTAGTTAAGCATTACATTATATACCAGGATTAATAAGAATAATATATTTTTGTACAAAACAATTCCGGTTACTGTAGAAAATTTCCTAATATTGTTATAGTGTGAAGTCAGCCTTATTACTGATTGTGGTGACAGGTACTTCAGCGTGTTTTTTGTTTAGCTTTGACTTTTATGATTTTAAAATATGACATTGTACAAGTTTGGAATGGGGATAAAGAGTTCTTTTTGTATTTTGATTTCATTTTTCTTTTTCCATAAGTAGAACAAAAAAAACTGATAATCTGAGTGATTTTACTGAATGTATGAGAACTGTTTTAGAAATATGCATATTTCTTAAATGTGATAAATGCTATCCGAATGATTTTTGTTTTTTTTAAATAATAAATATCCATTGTATATAACAATATCCAAACATTGTTTAGCTAGTTTCATAATAAACATAAATATATATATATAACATAACACTTGACGCTTTTTTAAACAAATTGAGTCACAAGAAACGATTTTGTGAAACCAGACCCGCGCGCTGACGGCGCTATAAATGGCGGGGCTAAGTAGGGTCGTCAAGTTTTTTTCGTGGGACATTTGAGTTACGCACGCGCTGAGGGCCCGGGGCAAAGGCGCGTTGCGCGCGGACTCCCCTTGGGCAAGCGAGCAGATATGATCCGGACTTTTTTGGCTGCAGAAATGCAAAACCTACAACCGCAACACCTTTTTCAGCAGCCACTTCTCATGTTACAAATGACTCATTAACTCGTCTTTATGATTTATTCCCTGGAAGAGTGATAAGTCGCCGTGGAGACATCAATTGGCCATCGAGTAGTCCTGATTTAACGCCTGCTGATTTCTTCCTATGGGGCTACCTAAAAAGCAAAGTTTACAATCCATTGCCACCCAACCTGAATGTTTTGAAGCAAAGAATCACTGAAGAAATTAACTCTATTCCAAGAGCGATGCTCCAGCGAGTTATTGAAAATTTTAGCTCCAGGTTAAATGAGTGTGAACAAATGAATGGTGCGCATTTGCAAACAGTTTTTTTTTTATAAATTAACTTCAAGAATAGCTCTTTAAAATAACATTAAATAAAACGAGATTTAATTGACATTTTGTTTTTCATTTGACATATAAAAACGAAAAACATTCTGAGACACCTTTTATTAGATGACCGTCATGTGATATACGAGCAGATTCGGGCTGTTATCAGTATCGGAATGACTGCAATTCTGTCGATTTTACATAATGAGTTGTGTGTAAGATAGCTAGTTTCCCGCTGGGTTCCCCACGATTTGTCCGAAGAGCAAAAGGCGGCTCGTGTAGATTGGTGCCGGAATACTCTGCAACACTTCAACGGAGCGAAGTCAAATGCCGTTTATAATATCGTCTAAGGTGACATGGATTTATTCATACAAACCTGAAAGAAAACATCAGTCATCAGTTTGGGTCTTCGAATACGAGGTCAAACCAACGAAGGTGGTTCGCTCCCGCAGCGTGTCAAAGAAAATGGTCGCTGCGTTTGTCTCGAAAAAGGGGCATGTTGCTACAACTCCTTTACAGGAACGCAGAACGGTTACCGCTGAGTGGTTAAGTCACGGTTTGTTTTCTAGAAATGATAGGCAAACTCCGAAAAATTAACCCGAAACGTCGCACGTAAGATGACTTACATCACGATAATGCGAGCTCCCATACGGCTCGGAAGACAAATGATTTTTGAAGCAGGAAAACGTTGAGCTGATGAGCCATCCTCCGTACAGTCCTGACCTGAGCCCAAAAGAAGAATGAAAGATTTATAGCCCTTTCGCGTTAAGAAAATAGTGCGTCATCGTTGTCCGCCGGCCTGGCCACGCATCGCAGCCAATTAAAATGCAAGAAATTAGAAAGTCGAGTTCACAGTGACCAGTTGAAGTCAGGCCTTCGAACAAAACGGTTGTGTATTTTGCGTGTTACTCGTTCAACATTAAATTTTGAAAATGAATACCTCACCTATTCGAAAGAATAAAAGTGGATCAATAATCCATAGCGGAGAGAGACGCGTAATTTACAATGTTTATAAGTACTTTAAACTGTGTGATTTAAATGCGACTTTGCAGAGCACAGTAATAAAAACAGCAAATGCATGTGGTGTGTCCGAAAATACTGTTTATAAAATTATTAAAGAACAAAAGCATACTAACACATTAAAATCACCCGTGAAAAAAAGAGCTCGACTGTCGACGGTCGATAAATTAGATGAACTAGACAAATGTGCAATAAGGAGAAAAGTTCACTCAATATATTTAAATAACGACTACCCGACATTGGACAAAATTATGACACTTTGCGAAGCTGACGAAGATATTCCTGTTTTCAAACGTACCACACTTCATAAAATAATGCACGAGCTTGGTTTCGATTTCAATAAACAGGATAGCAGAACATTGTTAGTCGAAAGAGAAGACATTGTTTTATGGAGGCGTAAATATCTGAGGCAAATAAAAGAATACAGAGCCGCTAATTAAACCATTTACTATCTTGACGAAACGTGGGTAAACGCCGGACACGTAAAGACAAAAGCATGGTTGGATACAACGGTAAAAAATAAAAGACAAGCCTGTCTAGATAGCTTATCAGCCGGTCCAAAAGCTCCGACAGGAAAGGGTAAAAGGTTAATTGTATTGCACATTGGCAGCGACAAAGGATTCGTGGAAGATGGTCTACTAGTATTTGAATCTAAGTCTACAAAAGACTATCATGAAGAGATGGATGGTGAAAGATTCCTTAATTGGTTCATTAATATAATGCCTAAGCTAGAACCAGGAAGTGTGGTTGTCATGGATAACGCTCCCTATCATTCGGTAAGAGTCGAAAAAATACCAACAACCAGCTGGAACAAGCAGCAAATAATAGATTGGCTGCAAAGCAAAGGCAAATCCATGGACATGACTTATTTAAAAAAAGAATTATTAATGAAAGTTGCCGAAATCGCCCCACAATATAATAAATATTTAATAGATGAGACTGCCAAAAGTAATGGCATTACAATTCTTCGCCTACCGCCTTACCATTGCAAACTTAATCTAATTGAATTGGTTTGGGCCCAAATAAAAAATTATGTTGGTGCCAATAACTCCACGTTCAAAATGAGTGACATAAAAAATTATTAGATGACGCAATAGCCGCTAATCGTTGGAAGAAGTGCTGCGACCACGTGATACGCGGAGAAAATACCATGCGGAATTTCGATGACATCATGGAACTTGCAGAACAAAATTCTTTCATAATTAATGTAACTGAAGAATCTAGCGATACTGATTAGTGATTTAAGTAATTTTAAGAAAATTTGTTTCCATTAAACTTAATTATATGTTTGAAAAAAACAAGAATTTTTATTCCACTGTGAATACACCTTTACCCTGTAGTTGCACTGATGACTCACTATTTTCTTAACGCGAACGGACTATAGTACGCGGTCAACGGTTCGAAGACCCCGAAGCAGCTGTGGAAGCGTACAAATCAGCCATTTAGTCAACATCAACTTCAGACTGGAATTACTGTATTAATGATTGGTTTGCACGAATGGAAAAATGCATTAAGTTTAACGGAGAATACTTCGAAACACAATAAAATACAATTTAGCTATACCGTGCATGTGGTTTTTCTTATTCCCGATCATTTCAGTGTGCCCCTCCTTTTTTAAATTGTTTAAAACTTTGGTTTCAAAAGCACTTAATTATTTGTTCTGTATTTCTTTTGTAATATTGGTAGACATTAAAACCAAATTTCATGTGAAAGTTTTGTGTGTTTTTGTTACCGTATTTTTCCCAACATCCGATAATTTAGTACCAATTTTCTAAAATTTACAAGGCGCCGGTCACTCACATAGGCGAAATAAACAACACGCGTAACCGGTGGCGTAAAAATGCACTTTAAATTTAGATCTCGCATGAGGTCACCGGTGTCCCTCATGACGCAATAAAGCAACATACATGAGGTCACCAGTGCCCCCGTGGCGTTTAACGTGTTAATAAAACTTTTAATGTCATAGTATGATTTTTTTAATTTTTTTTACTGTGATCAGGAGAACATGTTTTAACACATATATTAAATTTTGTCAAAAATAAAAATTCATGCATCTAAGGGTTAACACTAGAGTGCACGCGCGGGCTACATATGTAACCCAGCAAATTGTCGTATATAATTTTAACTTGCCGCGCTACAGCGCAATCCCCTTGCTTCCACCAGTAGCGTGGCGACTCCTGCGGCTCACGGACGTCCAAAAAAATCGTCCTTAAAGTTGGTGGGCTACGCCTGTAGCCCGCGCGAGCATTGGAGGAAATTAAGTGTTTAGTGTGCAAGTGGTGAAATTGAAGTAAATATGATACATTTTTTGCAGTATTAATACAAAACGTACTGTTAATTAATTTTTAAGTGTTTGTATTTATGGATTTTCAATGTAGCTTTATTCTGTTTTGTTCGCTTTTTAGATGGCGGGGCACTCGAACAGATTGTGCGACCAAATAAAAAGATGGCTGCTGGAGGATAATGAAGACAACGACATTTCGAGCGATAATGAGGAAGGCGGAGAATTCGCAGAACAAAGTGACCCGCTTGGATCTCCTCACCATTCTGATACGGAGCAACACGGCGAGGAAGACGAGGACGAAGATGAAGACATGCCTCTATCGGTTTTGGCTTCTTAGCAGTCTCGTAATGATACAAAATGAAGCAAGATTGCACCGCTCACTTCATGTTTACATGTTCACAGATGTTTGGAACGTGCTTGTTGATTCAACAAATATTTATATTGATATTATAAAAAGCAAATACCAAAGAGACAGAGATGCGTCTCATACCGACGTGATAGAAATCAAGGCACTTATAGGGATTTTATTGGTGATTGGAACTTGCCGTGCGGGGCGAAGAAATCTAAAGGACTTCTGAGATAACTCAAAAGGTACTGGCATTGAAGTGGTGTATACGACTATGTCAGAGAGTCGCTTCTGATTCCTTCCGCGCGCCCTCCGCTCTGATGACGTAAGAGATAGGCAAGCTCGTCAACAAAACGACCGACTACCCGCTATACGGCAAATTACGAGTATTATGTTACATAATTGTAAGAAATATTATACTCCAAGCGAAAATCTTACTATTGACCAACAATTAGTGACATTCAAGGGACGTTGCGCGTTTTTGATGTACATGCCAAATATACCAGCCAAATTGGCATACAAATCGTTATGGTGGTGGACCTCAAATACCCATATGCCTATAATTTTGAAATATACGTCGGCGCGCAACCAGAAGGACCCTTTCAAGAATCGAATAAAGCGTCTGACATCGTAAACCGAATTTTGTGTCCATTTTTCGGCCTAGGATGTAATATTACTATAGACAACTCTTAAATTAATTATTTGATATTTAAGTAACAGAGCGCAAAAGTTGTCATTAATAGTACGAGCTCTTTTGGGTCGATAGTACAAATAGGCGTGCCTCAAGGGTCAATTCTTAGCCCCTTTCTGTTTCTTGTATATATTAACGATTAACCTTCATAGTTTCTACTTCATTAATTTTCAAATTAAAACGGCAATTACTAAAATATGACGAAGTAAATCATGATATATCTAAATTAGTAATTTGATTTAATGTTAATAATATGCATTTAAATGGCAATAAAACACAATGTATGAAATTCATGACTCCAAATGTCAAACATTTAAATAGGGAGGAACTGAGTCTTGTCGATACCACCATTTTTCATGGTATAACACTAGACCCTAAAGCTTCAATGGAGCCGCTATATATCAAAATTAACAAGCAGACTTAGTTCTGCAATAAAAAGATTAGAAATCTTACCAGTGTTGAAACAGTTAGACTTGTTTACTTTAGCTATTTCTATAGCATAATATCGTATGGTATTTTTCTATGGGGACACGCGACTGACACTGAAATTATATTTGTTTTACAGAGGAGAACCATAAGAGCAATGTATGAATTAGAACCTAAAGAGACGCTCCGACAAAAATTTAAGGAAATTAATATGTTAATGTTGGCCTCTCAATACATTTATGAAAATGTAATGTACGTACATAAAAATAAAAGTAGTTTTACAAAAATAAGTGATATTCATTCTGTAAATATAGGAACAGACACAAGATAGTTACCTTTACTTCACAGAGTCGATAATTCATACTTGGGACGATATATACGCTTTTACAACAAAATCCCAGATAATATACGAGGGAAGGTCAAAAAGTTCGCCGTATGCAGGGAAGGATAATGAAATGAAACATTAAACTATTTTTTCTTTTCAATGTATTCTCCCTTAACCCTAAAGCATTTATTAGATCTGTCAAATAACTTATTAATACCGTTAAAGATGTCTTGGGCGTCAAAATAGGCCGAAATTGACGACTTCACTTCATCATCGTCGCCAATATTTTTCCCGCGCATTTTTTTCTTCATTTTTGGAAACAAATAATAGTCGTTTGGGGGCCAGGTCTGGGCTGTAGGGTGGGTGGCGCAGATGTTCAAAACCGCACCGGTGAATGGCAGCCGTTGCAACATGTCTTTAGTGCACGGGCGCATTGTCGTGCAAAAGGAACACGCCTTTTGTAAGCTTTCCTCGCCTTTTTTTCTTTAATAGTTTCTTTTAATTGATCTAGTAAAGAAGCGTAGTATTCTCCCGTTATACAAACACCACGTTCCTTATAATCAATCAAAAGGATACCTTCTGTATCCCAAAAGATCGTCGCCATGATCTTTCCAGCCGATTGAGACACCTTATACTTCTTAGAGGGGGTGCCTTTTTTTATGCGACTGCATCGACTCTTGCTTTGACTCAGGTTCATAATGGTGAACCCAAGTTTCATCACCAGTTACAATTCTGGCCATAACTTCCACTCTTTGTTCTCTACGGCGGTCCAAAAATTCGCGCCAACTTTCGACGCACTTGTTTTTGATGCGCAGAAAGCATTCTCAGAACCCATCTGCTCAGACTTTAGTCATACCAAAGTGTTGATGTAGGATGTTTAAAATGGTTGTTTCTGATACTCCAACTAATGCTGCAAGCTGTTCTTTAGCCGGGCATTTTCCGATAGAAGTTTTTTAACTTTTTCCATTATTTCTGGCGTGGTAGCTCAACCGGCCGTCCAGGTCAGGAGTCGTCTTCAATGGAGTCCTTCCCTTGTTTGAAAAGGGCGTGCAATTTATAAATCGTTGTTTTCCCAGGAGAGGAGTCCCCATAAACAGCTAACATCTCTTGAAAAATGGTTTGATGTCTATTTCCTTGTTTTGTGAGTTGTGTGTTTGTGTTCGTACAAAATTAGATCTGCTCAAAGTTCAAACACTTTATTAAACAAAGTTTGTATAAAAAGGGTTATTATAATAATAAGGAATTTAAAGATGGTTTGAAAAATATCAATAAAAAAACTACATTAGCACTGGTCACGTTACGCAAAACATTAACGTGACCGACCTTATCGAGCGTTATGAGAAAAATATTTCATCGGGATAAAGCCCTAACCAGAAGTATTCTCCTGGTTTACGAATTTTTGCAACGACTCTTCACTTTCACTCGCCTAAGGCTTACGCGTATGTAAGAAAAAAAATCCAAACAGCTCTGCCTCATGTTTTGAACAATAAAAAAGTGGTACCAATCTATCGATGCTCAGCCTGGATTCACGATAGAATCATTAAAAGCAATAAAAATTAAAACTGCCTGCACTAAACACAAATTGTTGTGTAATTTAGTTATAAACGAAATAACAATCAAACAGCGTGTGAAGTGGGACGGAAAACAGATGCACGGGAATGTCAATATATCGAATTCAGCAAAACATGGGGATTGTTTACCCGAAGATAAAGAAGTTCTTGTGTTTTTAGTTACCGCAATTAAGAAATAATTTTAATAATTAGAAGCTTAGAAAACACCAGGTGGGATTTTTCTCGTTAATGGTACCGCAAAACATTAACGTGACCGACCTTATCCAGCGTTATGAGAAAAATATTTCATCGGGGCAAAGCCCTCACCAGAAGTATTCTCCTGGTTTAAGAATTTTTGCAACGACTCTTCACTTTCACTCGCCTAAGGCTTACGCGTATGTAAGAAAAAAATTCCAAACAGCTCTGTCTCTTGTTCGAACAATAAAAAAGTGGTACCAATCTATCGATGCCCAGCCTGGATTCACGATAGAATCATTAAAAGCAATAAAAATTAAAACTGTCTGCACTAAACACAAATTGTTGTGTAATTTAGTTATAATCGAAATAACAATCAAACAGCGTGTGAAGTGGGACGGAAAACAGATGCACGGGAAT